TATATATATATATATATATATATGTTGATAAGTAAATGATACAAACGTTACACTCACAGAGTATTACACATTGACACGTTATTTAAATGGGTTGTCAAGGCTTTTCTATTTCAGGATTGAAATAGTATCGAAAATATTGGTATTTACAGCCTCCATTTTTTCCCCTTCCTTTTTCTTTCTTCTTCTTCTTTTTTTTTTTTAATCATCGATTAGAATTATATATAATAATAGAGAAACGTTTATCATCTTAAAATATAATGCACTTAAATAGTGTATATCCTTATTGTTTTTATTTTCTTGCTTTTCTTTTCTCCACGAATTATCAAATCGTTCATCAATTTTTAATTAAAAAACTGCATGATTATGCTCTCTCTCTTTCTCTCTCTCTCTCTCTCTCTCTTTCTCTCTATTTTTACACCTACAATTCTATATTTTAATTGAATTGAATAAATTCATTCAAGATAAACGCGATTGAAGATCATACTTTGTTATAAGATTCATCGTCAGACAATTTATTTTTTGTTATTTCAATAAAGTTTGTCTTTCTTTCGTCATCTTTACTTATGGAATTTGGCTTGTGTGTACGTGTATGTGTATTTTAATCACGTTTAGAACTATTTCAATCATAAAATAGTATATATATATATATATATATGTATATAGTTTCACCGTTATTTGCGAAAACTAAATTCTGGTAAATATCACGTCTAATTCGTTAATATAATTCAAGAAAGGATTTGATTAGTTTATTTTTTTTTTTAAATAGTCGAGGAACTAATCGTCAGCAAGAACGTATTTTTTGTCAATTTCTTCATTCTATGTTTGATAAACGATAGTTTAAGTAAGAATTTCACAGCTACGGATAAGAGATATACGAGGAAGAAGGACATTGGTCTTATTGTTATATACAGTGACGGATCAAGTCAATCGGGGGCTCCACAAACTTAAGTTGGAATAAAAAAATATGTTTGAAAAAAATTCTCATTAAGTATTTATCAATCGAAAAGAAAAACTTATGTAAAAAATTTCACACGCATATCATAACACTGATTAATTAAATTTATTTTGATAAAATGTAATTCTTTTCGAACCCTAATGAAAAGAAATCTTGAAGATCTCGGGAATTCATTTGGGACGCTTTGGTATTTCGGGGCCCTACACGACTACTTAATTCACCACTGTTGTTATAGCTGATATATTATTATATATTCTTCTTGGTTGGTTTTGTATTAAATTTTTGTTTAGAGGGTTGCTTTTCCAGGGCCAATCATATCAGTTGTCTCAACACGAGCTTGTCTCAACCAATCCCTGAGATTTCTTGTTCTATCAGCCAAATTCGATGAACTTTTTTCTACGGTGTTTCCAACGCTGGTTGTGAAACCACTGTTACCATACTGTGCGATTATGTTTTGAGTGGTTGTTGTTGGTGGTGGTTGCGCTGCGGTTAATTGCGACAAAATGTTTGATTGTATATTCGGTGTACCGAAAGTATCTAAAAATAATATATCTGTAAATAAATTTGTGTATCATAAAACCTCCGTCGGTAGGGTGGATTTTTTTCTCAATATTATTGTTATTTAAAAAATTGCAAAAAATCCAACAAATCCATCAAAGATAAGTCTTACCGATAGAGGGTTAAATTCTAATGAAACTATTTGATTACTTTTCTTAACGTATAAAAATGAATAAAACACAAATCTTTTCTTTATTCCTATTATAAATTTAAAAGAAAAATAATATTATTATAAATAAACACAAACCTTGCATGTTACTAGTCGAAGCAGTTAATGGATGAAGACGTAGCCATCTTAAATATGAATACATCAAAGTAGGTGGTGGTATATTATTACTATCTTGACGTTTATTCAAAACATTCCAAATCTCACGTATCTCTGAGTTAAGATTCTCTAAATTGGCGATTATTTCTGTCGACTCTTGATAATGATCAGGTTTGTCTAAACGAATGACAAAAAAAAAACAAGAAAATATGAGAGCAAGTTCTAATACAATCAGAAAATCTTTTTTACCTAATCGACTTTACCTATAAAGGTATCAGTTCCAATATCTGTTGAACTGAATCCGCTACTTGCGCTGGACATATCGCTTAGGGTCAATTCGTCGTTTTTCGTAGAAGTAGCATCGTTTTCGTTTCTTTTGGCATTAGCTACTCTTTCCAATGATTGTTCCAAGTGTCTCAAGTGTATTACTTTTTCACCTAAAAGACTTCTCGTACGATGTAAACTGACCTCCATGTCAGAAAGTTCACGTTCTTCCTAGAACAAAAAAAGAAATGTCTTGGAATATAATTTTATAATTATTTTCTTTTTTCCTAATCAAATATTATAATCCAAATATCAATGTAATTATTATTATTATACCTGGACCAATTGTTCTAACGTAGCTCGAGCACTTCGTTGTTTCAAAGCTCTTTGTCTACCCTGAAAAGCATTCCTCTGTTGTTTCCATGCTTCTCTAGCCCTTCTCACTGAGTCCCTTTCAACGTGTATCCGATGCCGAAAGAATTCCAACTCCGAGGACGCATTTGCTGGTGCTATAATTAATAATAATTATTATAAATATCATAATAATATATATATCTTATTTATTTCATTCAAATCAAATTTAGCTTCCAAATATATGAGAAAGATTGCGTATATTATATGTGTGTGTGTATGAATTGACCAATAATAAATGAAATAAAAAAGAAAAGAAAAGAAAAAAAGAACGATTAATACGAGTAAAATGGAAAAATTCAAAGTCCGGTTAGCACGAGGAGATTCGAATGAAAATAAAATATGAATAATAAATACCTAATTAGCAAACTTCTTTGATTTATATCACATAATAATTTAACTTACGAAAGAAGATAGACGAAGGGATGTAAGCAGTTAACCAAAGTAAAGTGTATAGATTCCTAGGAGAAAAATGATACAATAATGTACTTTTTCTTTTTTTCTTTTTTAATTTATACGAACAAATAATAAGTAAAAAAAAGAAAATATTAAATAATAATAATAATAATAATAATCATCATCATCATCATCACCATCATCGAGCGAGATAGAGGAAAAATTTAGTAATGAGTAATAAATAGGGATATTATAATAATGTTCATAATATTTCGGATACTTTCTTATATAATCACGTATACAAATAAATTTTCCATATATATTGAGTATATGAAACGTTGGGGGGAGGGGGGATAAGAAATTGTATTAAATCGGTTTATTTACACACAATTTCCGAACGACCTCGTTGAGAATACTCGTATATCAATGATTGAGTCATAGCGGTTTTTGTTTACTAACGACGTCTGTTTGCAAACGCGTCTCGAACGTATACGTAGATATGTACGTATTGTTATATATGATTTTAGTATTTAGTCAAAGAAATATTTGAAAAGAATGAACGTGATTTGTAACATATATTTACAACAAAACATTGATTTATACATGTACGATCCGTATATGGGTCGCTAGTAACGAAAGGGTTAAATATTTATAAATATTGATTTATCTATCGAATTAATCGAATGAATTAATTAGAATATCATATTTAAAAATCGTTTAACCAAATAAAAATAATAAAAAAGTATCCAGTATAATAATGAAAATTATTAAAACGTATAATTAAAAGGTTGAAAAAGATTGGACAATTAATTTGTAGAATTTTTTTCAAATGATTTATCACCTTTATCTTGGAAAGGATATCGAAGAGTGTAGGCCGTTTCGTTGCTCGGTAATTGATCCCCAAGATGTTCGAGCTTTTCCAATTGTTTTCGGATATTTTCTACGGGATTTTCTATATTATTGTTGTTATTGTGTGTGTTGTTGCCGGTACCGGCAATAACGGTATTGGGATTAACATTTAATTGTTGTTTGTTATTCGACGTAATTTTTCTTCCAAGACTTTTACGCCTTCTCATTGTGTTCGCGTTAGTTTCACTCGCCGTAGTAGTGTCGTCGGATTCAAATTTCGCGGCGTTCTTCGTAGAAGGCACGCTATTGGTCTGAACAATGCCACGAAACCCCCCCTGGTTGCTGCTGCTCCTATTAGCCGCGCTTTTCGAATCCTCGCTTTCGTTTAAACTCTGACTCTTGTCGTTTGTTCCTGCTGTTGTTGCTGTCGTATTTGTTCCTGTTGTTGCTGCTGCTGCTGCTGTTGTTTTTGTTGTCCGAATTATATCCGTTGGCTTAGCGTTTGCCATCGAATTCGTTGAATGTGTGCTCCTCAGTGGGGTACTACGGGCACGATTTAAGGCCTATAGCCAGATATTAGGGCGAATCGCATGAATATGACCGACAATACCTTTACAATTGTCAATAATTTATATATTTTTTTGTTATTTAATCATTTCTATTGAGAATTGCTAAGGTTATGATTATAATGATGATTCAATCGAATGATATGGCTTATGATACACTATATATATATATATATATATATGAATTATTATGATATGAATCATCTTAATCTTTTTCTTCGTTGTATTATAATTTAAAAAGAACATTTCCATTTCGTTACTTTATTATTAACCGTTTCGTTACGACACGCATACGAGTGTAGTCACACACTTGTACGGCTCTTATATAGGTCGTTAGTGTAACGATAGGATTAATTTATAATTAAATTAATATATTTAGGATAGAATATTAATATCGTAATAGATAAAAAAGAATAAAAAGAAATGTTTGTAATATAAAATAGTAAGATTAAATGAAACAAATTGACAAAATAAACTTACTTTTTATCGGATGAATTAGTTCTTTCAGTTTTTGATCTTTCAGTTTCCGATGTCGTCGTGTAACCACCACCACCACCTGTGCTTTTATTTCTTCTTTCGACGGTTAGTCTAACATCGTTCTTCAATTTGATGTATTTCTCCTTCAAGGCTATATACTTGTCTTCTAGTAGGCGTCTCTCGCAACGTATTTTCTCGAAGTCCATGCATTCCTGTTGTAGGGCACGTTCGGTCTGCTTTCTAGCTTCCTTCTCGAGTTCACGCGAAAAATCAGCACGGATATCCTCTAATCGTTGTTTGTACATCTTACGTGCAAGACCCTCCTGGAAATATGGCAGGACACCTATGATCCATGTACGATAATATCATAATAATTATCGTAATCCTTACAACAAACACAAATTGGTGCTATCATCAGACTCCTGTATTAGTCCTCCTGTGCTTCAAAATTCATCCTATCGTATTGGATCAATTCCATAGATCGATTAATTAATTAAATAATCGATTGATTGATTGATTGAATGATAGATCATTCGATAGATATAACGCTAATTAAAAGATCTATACAGATCTTTTTCAATTTTATCATGTTAATTGATAATTTATTTTATGAATGGGATTAAGACGATGTGCTTTTAGTTCAATGATTTATGAACCTGATCAATCTACGACGTATGATTTGATTATTAATTAATGAATTTATATATATATTAGAACGAATTTCAATGATTGCAATTTAATGACCCGTGAGTTGTCCGGGGGGTAAAGTATAAACGTTTAATACACAGTAACTTCCGCTGTGTGTTTTTACGAACGAATCGTAATATTTTATTTCTGTTTTTTTTTTTTCCCAAATATAAACTCTTAACACATTTAAACGCTATCAATAATAGTTACCTTTTTCTATTCTTCTTATAAACTATTTCATATTTCATATTATATATTATATATGTTATCATTAAGAACAATTGATATTAGACCTTTGTGACTATAAGCTTACATGAATTAATCAAATTTGTTTATCCAAAAATTGACATGTATATATTAATATATTTCGATTTCATTGATCTACGTTTAAAATCTAATAGAAAAATTTTCCTATGCGTATATAAATATTGCGTATATGTATTATGATCTTTCTTTAAACGAATCAATATATTTAATAAGGCCTAGGAATGTTATTTAAAACATTTCTTTTTATTGTTCTACATATATATATATATATATATATATATATATCTTAATTTAACCCTTTCGTTACGACATCCTTTTGCGCGAGTGACCCATATATGGGTAAATAGTAACGAAGGGATTAAATAAGTAAATATATTTTGTTTAATTTGTTGTTGTTGTTATTCAAATCCTTTTTCGTCATACTTAGAAGAAAACAATAAAAAGGAAGTGCGCTTTTGCATAATATTTTGTTGCTTGCTTTAGCGGGTATTTCAGGAGAGGGTTTCTAGGATGTTTTGTTTTTTTTTGTTTCTGTTTTAAAGAGGTTTCGTTTTCAATAGTGTGTGTGTGTTTTTTTTTTTAAAACAATAGACAGCATCGTCAGGTACTCACGTCGATTCTAAAGTCTCGCAGGATATCGGCAAGACACTTATCGTGTTCCTCAGTAAGCTTAGTTATTTTCTCCCTTTGTTGCATTCTTAGTTCATTTTTAACTTCATCGAACTCCTTGTCCAATTCCTTTTTCAATGCCTCTATCCTTTCCGTTTGTTGCTTATTCAATTCAAACTCGTTCAACTTCGCTAATTTTTCTTCACCTAGATCACGTTCGTGTTCGGTCTCCAGCTTCTCCATTTCTTGATTCCTTAACTCGAGAAGTTCACGTTTTCTTTCGTTAAGTTCGCTCTTTAAACTCGTCAAAATTTCCAAACGTTCCTTCTCGTAACAAACTTCTAATTCTTCTCTGACCTTCTTCAAATTTTCTGCCCTTGACTCGTCCATTCCTGCTATTAATTTTTGTATCTCTTGTTCTTCCTATGAAAAATATCAAGAAAACACAAAATACGGTGTTACGCGATTGGTTTATTTGATTTTTGCAATTTTTTAGAAACAACAATAAAAAGAATTGTGTGTGTATGTGTCGCAAATTTTATATATATAAGATAATAAAATAAATAATTTTTTCTATATATTTATATATAAATATTACTCACCTTCTCAGCCATTTCTCGTTTAAATTCAATCAACTTTTCTTCAAAATTATGCCTGAGTGTTTCCTTTTCTATCCGTAGATTATCTTCAAATTCTTTCCTAGCAAGTTCTAATTTTTCTTCAAATTCTTTCTTCAACGTTTCGATATCCACCTCGTGTTCCTTGGTTAAATTTATTTTCGTATCTTCTAAACTTCTCGAATGTTCTAACTTCGATTTGCCAGTATTACGATTAGAACTTTCAAATTCCTTAACGATCCTGGCAAGATCTAAATTACCATTGGTACCGATATTATGTAATCTGACGGTGGTCTTCCAAGTTTTATCTGGTACGCTAATGGAGTCAGTATTTTTTGTAATACTCGATTCAGTTTCGCCTTTCGATATCAAATCGATATTTTTAATATTCTCAAATTTACTTTTAGTCATTTTCGGTAAGTTCGTAGTAGTAATACATTCATTGTCATTGTCAGTTTTAATAACAGACGTTGTTGTTGCTGTTGTTGTTATTGTATCGTTAGCGTTCATTTGTGTTCGATGTTCAATTTCGGAAACGTTCCTTACGACGAATCTCTTTCCAACTATTTTACTACTCTTTGGTAATGGTTGCAATTTGGTTATCAATGTACTCTTTTTAATATTAACATCGTCAACCTCAATTTTATCGTCATCGTCAAAGGAACGATTAGGTGTTGCTTTCCATACCGACGTCGTAGTATCCGATTGACGATCAACAATAGTCGTATTAGATATTGGTTGATCATGTTCTTCCGATCCGGAATCCCATTCGTCTTCCGATCCAGGATATGTGAATTTAATATCGACCTCTTTTTCTAGATCAAATCGTACACTTTTCCGTTCCTCGTCCAATGGCCTCTCGTCTGCCAAATTAGAATTTCAAAAGTTTCATTAAATTAAATTTAAAACAAAGGGTTTTCTCTACAAGTTGTTTTTTTTTTGCTTTTTTTTTTGTTTTTTTTTTTTTGAGACAGATAGATACAGAGAGAGTGTTTGTTTCTGTTTTTGTGTGATAGGTACTAGACTGACGTAAATTGAAAATGTTCGAAGTACAAAGGTATCGCGCGTTATACTACAAATCGTAATAAAAATGAATGAATCTTGGCTCACCATCCTCCGATTGTTTTTCTCTCAAGATTGACTTGAGCGCGTCCGGTAGAACAACAACATCAGCACCTAAACCTACACGAAAATCTTCTAATTTAGCACTGTCCTGACTAGGGGTAGTATCCCTGCTACGATTACTTTTTAAAAACATCGAACCACCGCCGCTTAACGTTAATTCCTTTTGTTGGCCCAATTGACTTGGATGTTTTTCTTTGTCAAACTTAAGATCGGTTTTGTCCGATCTAGCCAACGCACTGGCACTTAATTTATCAATATCAATGATATTCTCTTCCGAACTGAATTTACTCGATAATTGTTCCCAATCTTTTTCGTGTCTTGGACTCAACGATTCGGATCTTTTCAATACTTCCTTCAAATCCAATTCCTTTTTAGGTGTCGTGATTGGCGTTGTGGTTTCTGTACTACCAGACACTACGGCTACGTTGTTGTCCAACAATTTTGGACACTCGTAAAAATTAGGATCTTGAAATTTCAAATTCGTGTAATCTCTGGCAGCACGATCGGTTGATAATGACGAAATCATATCGGATTTAGTATCGCTTTCTCTTCGTGAACGTATTCTATCTTCTTTCTTCCTGACATCTTGTTGACTACGATCGATTTTTTTCAATGGCGCTAATTTAGTCGGTATCTTCGTTCTCAAGGTCGACGACGTATTTTCACGAGAAACGCTAGGTTCTTTCGGCAAACTCGCTTCCTCGTGCGACTCCAAATCTTTGGCCGTTGTCTTTGAGTCTTCTTCTGAAAGAAAAAAAATGAAGAAGAAAAAGGGAAAAAAGAAGAAAATGAACGAGGAAAAAATGTCATCGGTAAGTAATCTCGAGCTGATACAGAAAAATTAAATTATTTTTATCAAGGCCCTATTATTAAATTATTTTTATTAGGCCCTATTATTTAGAAATCCCTACTCGTTGCCATTTCCTTAAATCCGTCCCAGCTTTTGATCGTTGCTTTTGCATATCTATCTTTGTCAAAAAAAAAAGAAAAAAAAAGAAAAAAAAAGAATAAAAAAAGAAAAAGAACGAAAGAGAGGAGGAGACAGGGTCAACGTTCCCTCGAGTGGAAATGCAGTCGACTGCATTTTCACGCTATTCTCTCATTCTTTCTTCCCTTATTCATCCATCTATCTATCCATCTATCTATCTATCATTTATCTATTCATCTGACAGGTACTCTCTCCGAGGAAAAATCCTTCTTTTATTTCATTTTTTTCGATATAGTGTTGACATGCAAAAATATTCTTCTTCTTCTCTTTCTTCCTTTTTTAATTTTTATTTTTTGTTCTATCATAAAAAAAGGGTTCCGCGTCCTTGAGACAACAACTTCCTTTGATTCTCATCTCTGATATAAAGTGGAGTAGATATATTTCTTTTTTTTCTTTTTTGTCCATCATCTTTTTGTCGTTGCGTTGCATCGTTTGGAAAAAAGACATGATAGGATGAGGAAGATTACGTAAAGATATATATATATATATAAAAAAACATAGTAAGAGGTAAGAGAGAAAGAGAGAAGAAACTGAAAGAGGCAACATAACACGCGTTGCATGATGTTATGTAATCATGTATTAGCTACCGCATAGTGAAACATAGATAGAGATGATGAGACTATGTTTAATATAACTATAACTATAATTATACTATAGTAATATCAATATATGTATTACGACTACTCGTGGAAAGTTCAAAAGGGAAAAAAAAGAAGTATATTATACGGTTTTATCGGAATTACCATAAATCGTTTCACTCTTTCTTTCATTTTTCTATCTTTATGTTTCTCGTCTAACTATCAAGAGACTCGTCGTTTGCTCGTTTCTATAGTTCAAAGAAAATATTTTGACAAGCAGCCAGACTTTCCTCTTTTTCTTCTTCTTCTTCTTCTTCTTCTTCTTCTTCTTCTTCTTCTTCTATTTCTACGTACTAATATTTGCCAAGTAATTTAACATTTCTTTCATTTTTTTTTAATTATATGTTACGAAATATCTTTTTGTTACTTTATCGAGAGAAGATGATTTAATTATAGTAGCACGTGTGAAATTTGTTTTTTATTTATGCTCGCGCGTGTATGTTGATATATATATATATATTTTTATTTTTTTTTTGTATATCACGTTTATCTTATCGAATTGATAACGATTGATAATATTAACTCGACTCGCTTTTTGGGAAAATTAATTTCGTTGTTTATTTATTTTATTTGTCTGATTTTAATTTTTTGACTCTGTCCGAAGTGTCCAGCTGTTAGTATGTAAAATAATTTCTTTTTTATATTTGTTATTATCGGTAAACAGGATTGACGATGTGTACGTGTCAAAAATAAAAAAAGAAATTATTTTTCCAAACAATTAAATATTATCTTTCATAGATATCTATATAGATCCAACTTATATCGTATTTCGTAATTTTTTCAATTGAAAGATATATATAAGATAAAGATGTTTATACGGTAGCATAAATATATCTATCATTTATTTTTTTTTCTAATCAATTTAATGTTCAGGAATACGTCTTTTCAAGAATCGAGATAATGATGAATCGATTATCAATTTTAAATATCAACTTGACATTTTATATACTTCTATTATTATTTTTATTTTTTTAAATGTTAATAATGAAAGAATAAATTATGTGTAAAATATGTGATCGAATAAATGTCAACGTTAATATGTTGAGAAAATTAATCATTAAACATTAATATAATAATTAATCGATTATCTGTTTTTAAAATATCAACCTGACATATTATTATTACGTCATTATTTTTTTTTTACCTTAATTTTTTATAATATTTAATATTAATAATGAAAGTGTGTAAATTATGTATAAAATGTGTGATCGAATAAATGCCAACACAAATGTTGAAAATAAATCTCTCTAACTAATCTATATAGATAACATACATATATATATGCTACTATATAATACTATATATCTATAAAAATGGAATAGATGAATAGGATGGACTCGTATAAAATTGGCCGAGTATTTAAAGCCGTATAATAACGGATGATAAATCTTGGCACACACGTCAAGATAATATTTCATTTCTAATCTCTGACATCAAATTCGTTTAAATTGCGGAGTAAATATTTGTTTAGATTGAAAAGAAAATTAAATTAATCTAATGATCGTAATATTAACTATTTAATATATATATAGATAGATAGAGAGATAGATAGATAAATAGATGTAACGTTTAATTTAATCTATTTAAAAATAATCATTTAATTATTAATTTTAGATCGTACCAACACTCATTTGCCGGTTACCACTCCTAACTTGATCAACTAGTTCCCTATAAACCGAATCTAAAGGATGTTCCCATGTTGTTGTACTGGTGGATGCTTGATAATAATACCAAGCACCACTTGCCTCGTGATAACAAGGTATCCATCCCTTTGGAAGGGCAGCCATCAGTCCTTCGCGTGCCAATGGAAGTAAATGTGCTTCGGTATCTGGATCGATTCCGAGTCTTTTCGCATAATCCAATACCTCTGAAAAATGTTACAAATTATACATTAATACTTAATTGAATTATTACCAATCGTATGTCGACTATTGCTCGATGTTACATATTTTTACACCGAGTCTAATGTCGAGCTACATTCGACATTAGGCAACGTTGTTTAAGGGATTTGTTGGTAGTTACAAAAAAAAAAGTGGAAAAAAATAACAATTAAAGAATTTAAAGGGTTAATTCGTATACAAGTAAAACGAGATTTTAAAATAAAAAGAAAAACACGTTCTAACGTAGAAACAGAAAATAATTACCCCTTCTCCCCATTACACACACATACATATTCAAGGATTTTATTAAATTATAAACAATAGATCTAAAAATAATATGAAAATATTCTAACCCCGTGTAACATAAAACGTAATTCATCCATACTATCGATAATCGCTAATGTTAAAATGTTCATTCTCAAAATAAGCACTGTTAGAGCCTGTTGCATGAACATCCAACACACTTGCATAGAACGAAAATAAGATATTGCAAAGTTTGTTTCAATTTGCGAGCTTAAAGTCTAGCCTAAAAAAAAAACAGATCTAATCCGGAATTAAAGGTTGCTGTAAGGAATGAAAAGAATGAGGAAGAAGGGAGTGGTACAGGGTTGACAGGGTTGAGAAGGGGATTGGGGAAGGGGGGTAAGAATAAGAGAGGGAGGTAGGATTAACCAAGCATGAGAGCTTAAAAATTCCATCAAGGAACTTCTTCTTTGACAGGTACCCTCGAGGGTACACCTTCGAGGGTACACCTTCGAGGTACCATCTGTTCATACACATACAAATACACACGTACACGTACACGGAAATATGTTGAAAGGACAGAGAAAGAGGTTCGGCAATTCTCGGCGTTAGTCGTGAATGAGGGTGGATAGGTGGGTGGATAGGAATAGGGGTGGGGGTATTTGGTTTAAAAAACATGAGCTAAACCAGACAAAGTTTATAGGCCGTGATGTTTAAACATTACGCGTATAATTATGATAACAATTCTTATAATAAAACAGGATGTTTTCAAAAACATTTTCACTGATGCAACAATTCATTTTATCATTTGTCAGATGAATGTAATGACTTACAAATATATGTCAGGGTGAACCAAAAGTTTGTGTATTTTTTTATTAATATTTCAATTGTACATAAAGTAATTTTATTGACTACAAAAAAATAGCGCTATCTGAAGTAACGCAACAAAAGCACGAACTTTTGGTGGTTTATTTTAAATATTTATTAATATAATATATATATCAAATTTTCTTTTTTCTTTTAATATAATTTTTTTTCTAATATAATATTTTTATAATATAAATTATAATAAATAAATAATAAAATATATATTAAATAATAATTAATATATATAGATTTTCGTGTAGTTTTATAGTTATACGAATAGATCGAATATATGCGTATGTGATAGATATAAATATATAGATAGATAGGTAGAGGGAGTGAGATAGAGATAGGTACGACAAAACTTTCGCCGCAGTGCGGAAGCTATTGATTTTCCTGGTTCGCGTTGGGGAACGGGTTCGTTGCAGCCGGCTCCCTGCACCGACCCTGCGCCTAACTCGAACCTTCTTTTCTTTTTCTCTTCTCTTTCTCTCTCTCTCTCTCTCTCTCTCTCTCTCTCTCTCTCTCTCTCTCTCTCTCTCTCTCTTTCTTTACTCGTCTCTTTCTTATTCTCGGTGTAAATAAACAAGGAAAGCGTGCCCTTTTTCAAGACACTACTCTCCCCTCCAAGCTTTTTTCTTTTTCTTTTTTTTTCTCTTTCTCGTTGAGATATTCCTCTTTGACGTTTTCTCTCATAGAGACTACAGATGATGATGATCGTGCTTCGAGTAGAGAGAGGATGATGGTACACACGAACGTGTAGATACGTATTTGTAACGTAGAAAGGGAAACAAACAGAGATGAGAATAACACTAAGGTTAGAGTTTAAACCATTAAATGAGAGATAGAGTGAAATAGAGATAAAAAAGACAATGTTGTCGAAGTTATTCCGTAAGTTAAAGTTTTCCACAAAAAATAAAAAAAGAGTAAAGACAAAATTGCAGGATTATTGTAATTTAAATGAAATCACGTAAGGCCCCAGGTTCTATTACTTTCTTCGTGGTCAAGGACATGATATAGAAAACATGTTACGAAAGTGTATTAAAGAGGGGATGCGGGTGGGGTGCAGAAAGAGAGAGAACGAATAACGATGATGTGTATTATAGTTAGTCCCTGGGAGATAAGATAATGACGAGTCGTACAACAAAAAAGAAAGACTAAAGGAAAACGTAAGTTCAGGTGTTAGCTAACCGTTATCGACCATGTTCAGCCACGCAAACACACACACACATATATATATATATACATACACACATACGCACCGAAACTACATTTTTTGGGGATCATAAGATTGAAATGTATTTTATATATAGAAAAAAAAGGTGTCATTTTATTATTAATTTTTCTTTGTTATGATTTGAATACCTTCGTTTGAGGGGTGAGAAGTTTCGTCGAAAACCTCCCTGCAGGCGATGGTAGTAGCATTTTCTTGCTGAGAAGAGCTCATCCTGAACTACGATGATGCCACCACCACCACCACCACAATCACAATCACAACCACCACCACCACCACCACTACTATTACTACCACCACCACTAGCTCCTCCTGCTCCTCTTCTTCTTCCTCTTTTTTTTTTTTCTTCTTCTTCTTCTTTTTCTCGACGAGCTTGTTGTTGTTGTTGTTGTTGTTGTTTATGATGACTTTTTAAAGAATTCACTTTGTTTGATAGAACGAATTTGTAATAGCACGATGTATCGTGTCCTCGTCCGATCATTTTCCATATCGAGGAGGCTCTATTTAATACGAGGAAGGAGGACCTACTACCACCTACGTATGGTTGTGCGCGCGCGCGCACGCATGCACCTTCCGCAAAGGAGATCGCGAAGAGCGCAACTACGACGGCGACGAACAACCGCCGTTGCTGTCGCGGTCAATGCGAACCAGACTTCCACAGAGTGTGACAGAGAGAGAGAGAGAGAGAGAATGAGCGTGACGAGGGGGTTATACTTGGGACTTTAAACAGTCGGTTAATATCCTGCGAGAGTGACAAGGACAACAACAAATCGAGCGCACTCTTCAGAATAATTTTAGAATTATCGACGCGTCGTTTGTCGATAAGGTAGATTTCTACATTTTTATTGACATCTGTCGTTATTTTATCCAACTGAGGTAGTTGGTTAGTCAGTCGCGACCTTCCTTGTCGATTGCATTGATTTAAAAAAAACTGCACAAAAATATAGATTCGATTAGAAGCGAGGGTTAGATTCGGTTCAGATTGATCAATGATATTTTTGATTGAATTCTTATTTTGACTAATTTCGATTCTTTCGTTTGGATCTTGTTTTTTTGTGGGTCAATTTTACTAACGATAATTAGTAGTTTTGATATGGAAGATAAGAAATATTTTAATTGGATCGCGTATTGGAGTTATCGATGTTAAAAAGGGTGTAAAGATAGTACTGGTTGCTTTCAGCGATAGGTAGAGTCACCGTATGTATTATTTTTAATATTCCAAAAGTATAATTTCGTAAGAGAGGGAATATTAATTATAATTATTTATATTTAAATTTATGCGCGCGCGTACAGATCGTAGTTGTGTTATTTATTTATATATAATCATTTGACTTAAAATAAAATTGTGATGCAAAATTTCTCCTGACAGTTTGTCATATCGGAATATTTAATTATTTAGTATTCGATGAATATCGAATTGGAATGATTTTTAATGAAAAAAAAAAAAAGAAAGAAAAAATGATTTGATAATGTTTCACGTTCGTTATTTAAAAAAAAAAAGGAAATCCCATTTATTCGCGATAAAGTTTCGCTAATAATTTTATTTGTTCTCTTGTTATCTTTTCTTCTCTCTCTTTATATATATATATATATTATTTATTTTTTTTTTATATGATCGACACACACATCGAAACGTATTATCATCCAAAGTGAATTTAATACGCTCTATAATACGCATCGATCGGCGCTTTTAAAACGAGTTCTATGGCGTTTTCCAAATAAACATACACACTGACACTGGCATTTTATTTTCCGTCTAACTTTTTTTTCATACCTATCGTAAAACTCATACTGATCGACATTAATTTTTATCTTAACAGGGAGAATAATTAATGACGACATCTATAGAAATAAAGTCGATTGGATCGAACTTTTACGTAATAATAATTATATATTTATATATATATATATATAAAATCATGCAAAAGAATCGTTGAAAAATAGAGCAGGAAAATATTCCGAACCGATTCGATGGAAAAAAAAAAGAAAATAATCTCTTTAACGAAAAACTCGACGAATATGAAAGACAAAAATTCATTCAACGTGTCGGTTTGAAAACTTTTGAATTAGGTGTATATGTTAAAAAATAAAAAAGAAAGGAACTTCAACCGTAATCCGTAACAAAGCAAGTGTCAGAATAATACGGGGATATACGTAAATTAGAAAAACTACGTTTGTAATTTTTTTTATCCTGAAATTAAAAAAAAAAACCAAAGAAAATCATAAGAGTTTCAATATAGGTATCTTTCGTTACGATCTATCGAATAGAAAACACACACACACGTAGTTACTTGCTTGATATCGTATACTCGGTATAAGAACATTTTGAAATATTCAACGAGAAAGAAACGATAAGGATTTCGCATGGATAAAAAATAAGAGGGTACCAATTTGTAAGAGAGAAATAACTTTCGGCTTCGAAACGACCATAAAAATAATGATCTTGCGCGAATCGGTGGTGATCGATTGGGATATTTAAATTTTTGACGGTATATCCCAACGGAGAAAAAAATGAGATAAAGAGAAAGAAAGAAAGAATGAGAATTTTCTCACTATATAACGTTAACGAGCATAGAATCAGAAATTCCTTTTCGCCGAACGTGAAAATTAAATGATAATGATATCCCGAGTAAGGTTGGTAGTATGTACTACGTGACACGATATAGGTCTAAAGAGAATATGTTAGAAAGAAACAGAGAGAGAGAGAGAGAGAGAGAGAGAGAGAGAGAGAGAGAGAGAGAGAGAGAGAAAATAAAATCCTATATTTTCTCTTTTATCTCTCTTGCGAATTTCTTTCTCGAGTAAATCGTATTCCTCATTAAATGCAAAAGAGAAGGAGAGAGAGAAAAAATAAAATGATCGATGCAATGGCGTATGCGATTTATTTTCTTCAACAAATCGATCGTTAGACTTATACTTTTCGAAGATAGACGATGGCCAAAGTTTATGTCATTTTTATATCACAAGTTCTCCTTTCTCTATGAATTACATTTCTATACATGTATATTTTTTTCTTTTATAAATATATTATATAATAAATAAGTTTCTCTTATTTTAATATATACTATTTTATATTTTATGTTTCTTTTTTTTCCTTTTTCATCCAAATGGAATGATTTATTTTTCTTAATTATTTCAACAAAATACATTCATTTTACCTTTATTTGTTTTTCTAATCGCTAACAATACTTTAAAGCAAGATTAAAAACTTTGAAATACGGTATTTGATATTTATTCGTAATTTGTATTAAAATAATTATTAACCCCGAAGAAATCATTTAAACGTTACTATAAATATCAAAATTTCTATGTATTTATAATATCGAACAAGAAGAATATCTAACAAAACTGTCTGTATAATTTATAATTAAATCAAATAAAATATATATATTTTTATAACGATTCCTTAAATATATTCTATCATTCGAAATGTTACTATAGCTTACAATTAAGTAACGCGTTAATAATTATTCGTATGAACAATTATTTCAATCGACTAAAAGAAATACAAATTTCCAACACACATATTGTACAATTGGTCCAATAAAAAAAAGTATTCTATAACAATTCCCCTTTTCATCTCATCCCGCGCAATTATGTAATAAATTAACAATTACTCGTATGAAAAATTATTTCAATCGACAAAAAAGAAATAAAATTTCCAACACGCTTTTTTCAATTGGTCCAATAAAAATAAATATTCTATAGAACGTTATAAAAATTCTCCCTTCATCCTTTCCCGCCACCATATACCCTAATCCCGATATATAAAAAAAAAAATCTTCTCTAACACGTACATTCGAAACGATTAATTCGATCAAATTGACGAAGTATAACAAAAGATACCAACAAAAAAATAAAAAAGAAAGAAAGAAATAAAATGTATTCGATATAATAAATGAAACGTTTTAGAAAGTAGGATGTGAAAGAAACAGAAGCCGTTAGGTTACTGGTAAGGTAATAGTAGTAGTAGTAATAATAATAATAATAATAGTAGTAGTAGTAGTAGTAGTAGTAGTAGTAGTAGCTTTGCTAACTCTCTCGTATCGTCAAATTCTATTGGTCGTTAGCCTCTCGAATTCACATCAGGGGATCCCCTAATCTAGCGTAACAAACGTAACGTCGTTAGGTTGTTAAGTAAATGTCACAGGGTGCGGCTAACGTTGACGACAACGACGACAAGGACAACCAAAAGGACGACTACCAAGGGCCGAACCACCAAGGCCCAACCCCCTAAAAACCCGAACGGAACGTACGACCCGTTCAAAATGGTGGCTCCCGAAACCTTTCGTATTCGATATTGAGAACAATAAACGAGAGAAAGAAAGGAAGAAACAAAAATACGAATTCCAATGTGCCTTTTTTTTCTTTTCTTATTTTTATTATTCGTCTACTGGAATAAAGAAAAGGGAAAACAAATTATGAATTTCTATCGTAATTTTATCGAAGATTATTTAAGTGAATTTTTTACTGAACACACATTCGACGTTTTATTTTTTTATTTTTTTTCGAGAATAATAATTATATTTTATATATTATTATTATTGTTGTTGTTGTTTTCTTTTGTTTTGGTTTAATTTATATATTAATTTCGAGGATATTCAAAAAGTACGTAATGCGTTATCGGATTCTTTTGCCGTCGCTCGGAATCATTTATGTTTTTTCGAATAATTTCATCTCCATTTAAGTTGAAAATAAATTTTTATTTTACGACAATTTGTGTGTTCGTTCGGGAACACGTGTTATTAGTTTAGAACGTTGCTTGAAATTTTCTAACAAATTATTTGTTAATATTACAAAAATTATTTATCCCTATATTTGTAAAGGATTTTTAAATTATTAATACAATAATCTTCGATGGTATGATTTAATTAACCACTATATTAATAAACCAATCATATTATTACAATTTTTGCATTTTATTCGTTAAAAATTAATTAGAAACATCGGATATATAAATTTACGATTAAATTTATCGAATTTATCGAAAACGAGAAAATTTGTATTTAGAAAAAGTAAAAATAATTGAGCTTCGTTATAAAAAATATGTGTTTGACTATCAAGACTTTTGTTTTTTTGACACTTCGATTTATCGATTTGGATCAATCATCGAGATGTTTATCGAAAAAAAACAAACTTTAAACTAACTAGAAAATTATTCGAATGATTATTATTGGTTTCTTTCACAGTCCCTGACTTTCTCGTAGGGTTTAACAGATGTCCGTTTCTCACGTTAAAGTACAATCGAGATTCCAATCTACGTTTTGCTCGTTTAACTGGCGTGAGTTTGGTTGATTCCCTTTG